CTGTCCTTTGCCCACAGGGAGTGGGCACTGCTCTCTGATTCTGGGGGGAGGGGCTGTTCCTCCCACGCTTGGGGAACAGTGGGGCATGGCTCTACCCTGTCCATGGCAGCTGAGGACAAGTCTCCCAGGGGCAGAGCCTGCAGCAGGCCTGCTTCCAACCAGCTCTTCACCAAGTCATTTCTGCTCCCCACGCGGTACTCAGACCCAGAACTCCTGCATCAGACCAGGATGTCCTCAGGGACACCCAGGAGACTGGGACCCAGAGAGGGAAATACTTTGAATGCAGGGCCAGGCTGCTTCTGGAGGTGGGAGGTGGGGCTCATATAGCTGGGAGGGTTCCCATGACAAGAGGCTCTCATCCAAGCTGTGGAAACAATCCCACAGGTGGCTCGTAATGGCTCGGACAAGCCAGCGGGAAGCTCCGAGGTGGGCTCGTCACCAAGGGGCTGGAGGCAGCTGTGTGGCCTTCAGGTGGGAGAGGGGCTGCACCTGGGGCCAAGTGCCAGCTTGCATCAAAAGATGCAGCTGCCTGGGAGGCCTGGCTGGCTGGCAGGCAAGAGGGGCCTCAGGGTGGAAACAGCTTGGCTGGCAGAGCCGGGCCTGGCACCTGGCCACTGGTGGCACTGCTCCTCAGAGAACGTGTTTTCTCGTTTAAGTATCGTCCCCACCAACACCCCTCTCCCCCACAAAACATAACATCACTGTGTTTTGCTTTGAGTGGGAGTGGTGGATCTTTGTCAACAGATGTAATTCTCAGATTGGTGGGGCCTTTGGAGAAGCTTGTGAAGCCAACTTCCCCTCTGGGAAGGGCTGCTCTGGAAGGGGCCGCCCTGCTATGCCCGGCACTTTACTTTTTCCATGTGGGATGAAAAAAAATCCTGATTTTTCACACTGCACCGATCCCAAAGGCCAAATATTTGCTGTCTGCCCTGCCTTTTCCATCTCAGACAGAGGTGGCGGTAATTCCTGGCTCCTGGAGAGAACAAGGGAAGACCCTGCAGGGAGGTGGGCCAGGCATCACCCCTCATCTTCCCCCCAAGCTCTGCAGCCTGGTCCCCGGTGTGTTAGGGGAGATCACGGGAAGGGTTCCCGAGACTGGAGGAATACATGAGAGCTGCCCCGAAGGTCTCAGTGGGCAGGAATCGGGTCCCACGTGGCGGTGAGGCTGTTGGCTGAAAGCAGAAAAAGGAGCATTGGGCTTCCTTCTGGGACTCCCAGCCTCCCAGCCAGCAGGCCAGGAGGACCCTGAGACCCGATAACATGATGACACACTTCAGCTGGTCCTCCTGGGGAGCCTCCTCTAAATATTGTCACTCCAGCTCTTTCCTCTTCCAGTCAGCGGAGAATCGCCTTGCTGAGTTTCAGAAAGGCGGGTCGCGTGTTTCTGAGTCCCTCTTCCTTGGGAGCTGGGTGTCGCCTCCATTTCAGAGGATTTTGGCCCTGCCTGTCTTTACTGCGCTGTACTTTCTCTTCTAGTGTTTGTCTGGATGGTTGGTGGAGAATGTGCAGCATCTCAGCAGCATCATTAAGGCTGAGAGCAGCGTGAGCTCCTGGCCTGTGGTGCGATGTAGACTAAGACCTTTTCGGAGGCTTCTGGGTAATGACCTGCCCCGGCTGGCTGACTGAGGAGTGCACTGCTCCATAGATGTGGTAGCTGAGAGCAGAAACCTCCTGGGTGAGGCTCCTCCGGCTGCCACTCGAACTCCCTGGGGTTGATTATAACTTGCTTGCCTCATTCCAGACAGCCCAAGACATGGTGAAGCCATCAGGAAGGACAGAGGGACCAGAGGCCACAGGGAAGGAAGTGCTCTGACCTGGAAGTCAGGAACCCTGGGCTCTACTCCCCCTGACTAGCCGTGAATCTTAAGCAAGTCCTTTCTCCTGTCCACAGGACCAACATAATTTGCAGAGCCCAGTGCAAAATGAAAGTGTGGGGTCCCTTGTTTAAAAAATTAAGAATTTCAAGACAGCGAGAGCAGAGCATTAACCTAGTGCAAGGCCTTCCAAGCTCAGGGCCCTGTGGGAATGTGCAGATTGCATACCCATGAAGCTAGTCCTACCTGTTTGGACCTCAGTTTCAACTACGGAGACTGTATTCAATCAGAGAAGCCCTTAGACCCTCATATGTAGAAAAGACAAACAGAGCCCCTTCTTCAGCACCACCTGAGAGTATAGTTTCAAGCCCTGAAGATGATCTCAAAGGTCCTTCTCAGTTTCAACATTCAGTAAGTCAAAGAGGTAGTGAAGTTCTCACCGCTAGGAACACAAGCACCTGCCCTGGGTGCTATGGAAGGATGAATCAAAAGCATGAAAAAACACAGATGGTTCCCTGACCCATAGCCTGCCTCTCCCTTAGCCTGAAAATAAACGTGCAGACCAAGCCTGCTCTTTCCCCAGCCTCAAGAAAGCCAGGCCCAGGTAGGAGCACCTGGGACCAAGTCTGGTTCTTGTTTCCATCCCAAGAACTGGCTGTAAGAGCCACTATCTGATGACCCGCTTGCCCCTGGGGACAGCTCAGGCCTGGACCACTAGTCTTTTCCAGCTGCTTTGTTCCCAGGAGGTCAGAGGGCAGGGCAGGTCAGCCAGGGTTCAGAGCCTGGACTGAGGGACTCAGGCTCCACAGGGCTCTCCTGAGGGAGGGGGTCAGGGCAGAAAGCTGGGCGGGGGCTGCAGGAGCCCCTGAGATGGATCTCCTGGGTGGGGGTTCACACTGCTGGAAGGTCGGGCTGGTGACATCTTTCTGCGCTGACCGGCTACAGAGCTCGGAAACCTCTTTGGAATTGAAAACCGTTTTGTTCAGGACTAAGCAATGAACAGGACGGGACTGGATGAACTTTCTCTGGGCTCCTCTCCCCTTCTTGGATTTCAGGGCTGCACGCTGCCCTCCCAATACCTTCCGCAAGAGGGTCGTCCGCGAGGCAGGGAGCCCTGCTCCGCTCGGCCCCCGGGGGTGGTCCCGCGGGATCCCGCCCGGGAGCCGAGCGCACGCGGGGCTTACCTTTCATGGTCCCTGGTGCCGGGCCTCGGGAGGCCCTCGCCGCGGGGCGCCCGGGGAGAGGC